ACAGGCGCCCGCCACCACGCCCAGCTAATTTTTTTGTATTTTTAGTGGAGACGGGGTTTCACCATGTTAGCCAGGATGGTCTCAATCTCCTGACCTTGTGATTGGGTTGCCCGCCTCAGCCTCCCAAAGTGCTAGGATTACTATCTACCATCTGTCTCCTCTGCCCCCTTCTGATTGTGAAAACACCTCAAGCTTAATGTACATCTTATTTAGTACAGTCAAATAGAAAAGATATAACTAGGTCGTAACTCTCATTTGGAAAGCCTCTTCTAACTATCTTCCCCTTCCAGAAACAGTCAGAGATCTACTTTTCAGGTAAACTTTTGAGTTTTCTAAAATAAGTTGTGGCAAAATTATTCCTTTCTGCATGTTAGTTGTATACAGGTTAACTGTGAACTAACGTACAGGTAACACAATAGTTTTCTGAGATGAATAAAATATCCTTTGCATGAAATCCACCTTCAGTATCATAGTGATGCTTTTGATCTCATTTTTGGAAAATATATTCCAAATGAAAAAAGATAATAGCATTTTAAAGCTAAGCAATTATTTAAATTATTAAACAAAACCCAGGAATCTAGTTATGTATGTTTATGAATATAATAATGAATAAATCATTTTTAAGTACAAAGGTATCTTAAAAGAATAACATAAAAACTTAGATGAAATGTAAAAACCTGCCTTTGTACTCTAAAAGCAATCAATTTTCTTTTAATAAGTTTTTAAAAGGTAAAAATACGATTTGAACATTATCAAAGTAAACAAGCACAAAGGATATACAAGAACTAATTCAGAAGAGACATGTTAAAATAAAAAACTCAATCACTTTTATTGGAGACACAGTCTTGCTCCATCACCCAAGCTGGAGTGCAGTGGCGTGATCTAAGCTCACTGCAAACTTCGCCTTCCAGGTTCAAGTGACTTTTGTGCCTCAGTCTCCCAAGTAGCTAGGACTACAGGCGACCACTAACTTTTGTATTTTTAGTAGAGACAGGGTTTCACCACATTGGCCAGGCTGCTCTCGAGCTCCTGACCTCAAGTGATCCATCCGTGTCGGCCTCCTAAAGTGCTGGGATTACAGGCGTGAGCCACCACATCTGGCCAACTCAATCCCTTTGACAAGTATACCACTCCTTGGAAAATTCTGTTTTAAGAATCCAACAGTAGAACACTAAAGTACATGTCAGAGATTTAAATGAATAAATTTATGAACTTACAATTAAGCTGCATGTTTGTCATGAGTGTTAGGCTATGAAGCACAAGGCACCACGTCCGGAGCAAAGTATTGGGATACCAAGCTAGCACTGTGAGAAAGCTAGTTATTGATGCTATGCAGAAAAGAGAAAGGGAAAATATTTTTCAGAAAAACAATGTTTATGAAGAATTAAAAGTCAAAAGAATAAATTAAAAAACAAGACAATATTTCTTTAAATCAGCTCTTTAGTGTCTCCAAAATATGCAAATAAAAGGAATTCTCCATTAAATACAACTAAAGCGTGAAGAATCAGTAACATTTTAGGATAAGGTTTAAAGCTCAGCCCACTACACCTGAAATGACATGTTATCACTATCAGTTTGTTGTACTTTCCAAACTACAGGCATTTCTACTTCAATACAATTTACTAAAAATCCTCACTCTACAAAACCGGCAGCTGAAAACAATAACGGATA